CCTCTCACCCAAGCCAAACAACCGGTCGAAGGCCGGTTACCTACCCCAACCACACTCTGTCGTCCACCGTCACTCCAGCCACCGCCCCTGGTGGCCGAAAAAACTAAATCGGCCCAAAATGTTCCTCTCAACTCCCCAACCCAAAAACCGAAGCCTAAATATCCAAAAAAAAAATCCTCACCGGTGTAGATCTAGCAATGAAAGTCTCGGGTTTACCTTTTTCCGATGAGCCTCTACGATTTTCGGCGACCTTTGGCGTTCCACGACCGTGCTCTCCTCCGTGCAGTCCCAAAGCCGAATCCTTAATATTTTTTTATGTTTTTCCTTGCTATTCCGAATATATTTTTTGCTTCGTTTTTTGTTGCCTTTTTTGTGCTTCGTTTGCTTGATGTTGTGATGGGTGTTTTTGTTATTTTTACCGTGTTGGATGTGCGATATTGCTCTCAAGTTGTCTTTTTTTTATGCCCCCTCAACGAGGTATTTATAGCCTCCAATCGGGGCTGTCCACCGTTAGTTTTGAGGGGTTATTTTACCCCGTTTCCCGATTTAATCGGAATGGTCATTGTTGTTGAATATATGGGATGGTTCAGTCCCATTCGACGATGGTAACTGTTGGTATGGCCGAAAATCTCGCTGGCTGTTTGGCACGTGGCCGCCACACGTGTTGTGCTACGCCTTTGAACTGAAGGTAAAACCCTAATCTTTTAGGCTCATCGGTTCAGGTTTAGTGACCTGTTGGGTCAGGCGAGGTTTGAACCCTGATTTTAGGCTCCTTATCGATTTAGACGTATTGGACTCTGAAAAAAACAAAATAAATAAATAAATAAAAACGAAAAATAAATAAATAATAAATAAATGAAAATAATACTATATATTTCCGAAATCATATAAAATTTTTAAATGTATATTATATATATATTTTCTAAAACGTTTTCAAAAATTATATATATACTTTCAAAAACGTTTTCAAAACTATATATTATATATATTTAAAAATGTTTTAAAAAAACTATATATTATATATATATTTTCAAATTGTTTTCAAAAACTATATATTATATATATCTTTTCAAAATGTTTTCAAAACTATATATTATATATATTTTCAAATTTTTTTCAAAACTATATATTATATATATTTTCAAAATGTTTTCAAAAACTATATATTAATATATGTTTTTAAAAACTATATATTATATATGTTTTCAAAAACTATATATTATATATATGTTTTCAAAATGTTTTCAAAATGTTTTCAAAAACTATATATTATATATGTTTTCAAAAATCATTTTTTAATAAAAAAACCATATGTTTCAAAAAATCAAAAATTATACTATATTATTATATATAAAAAAAATCAAAAAACCAATTTATAACTTTTAATTTTAACATTCAACCTTTAGTTACAAGCAAAAGTAAAAGTATTTTACTTATGCTTGTAATTAAGACGAGAGGCCCTACTATCCAGAAAAGGAAAAAGGTGTGGGCGGCGCGTTGAGTTCGAGTAGTGCACGTGAGTGGAGCCGGCATCCCATGTGCGAAGTGTCAAACTCCAAAAACCAATCAAATTTCTCCTCGAATTCACCAAACAATATTACTTCCTACATGGCAATCAATCATGGCTCTCTCCTACAACACCCACCATCTTACCCAGTTTCCCTGGCTGTTGGAAACCAGAAATACCAGTCTCCCACTCCCTTTCCCATCTCTACCTAGAGCTTCTCATTAAACCCACACTCCCAAGTCGATCAAAAATTCAACTTTTTCAAGAGGCAGAGCCGAAAAATAAAAGAATTTTCTTCTCTTTCGCCGTTGGTTTCGAGGAAGAAAAGTGAAAATGGTCGGGGATGATATAGAGAGCAGGGGAGGAAGGGTGAAGAGAAGCAGCTATAACAACATCATCGCCAACAACAACAACAGGAGCAGCGTTTATGCAGCTTCATCAACTTACATGATAGAGGATACAGATTCGCAATGGACATCGTGGTTGGTACCCATGGTCGTGGTGGCTAATATTGCTGTTTTTGTTGTAGTTATGTATGTCAACAATTGTCCGGATCACAGGCATACGAGGCTTGTCGGCAAGTGTGTGGCTAGGTTTCTTGGACGCTTCTCTTTTGAGCCTTTGAGAGAGAATCCTCTCTTTGGTCCATCTTCTTCAACGTATTTTTACTTATTCCCCCCCCCCCTTTTTTTTTACTTTCATGTTCTTTTTAGTTAGACTGTCTCCTTGTTTATAGATGAGTTTGAGTTTTGAATTCGGGTCACCTTTGGTAGAGCTTTTGGAGTATTTCTTACCCATGTTTTCTCTCCGGTCATATATCTGCTGGTGCTCCCAAGGCATTAAATTGGGTTGTTGCTGCAACTTTTCTGAAATTGCTTTCCTTTTCCAATTCATAAGTTGTGGAATTTGTATGTGGAAAATGATTTCTGCTCAAGGTTGGGGAATTTACTTTCTCATGACAAATGTTTATGTACTATATATATGTTTCCATTGTTAGTTTTCTTTTGTCATTGTTAGTTCATAACAAGGTTTGAATGATTTTGCAAGGACCAACTGTGATTTTCCTGATATTGACTGAAACTAGCAACAGATCTCATTGGATTTCCCTTTAAAATGAATATATATTTTCACTTTGGTAGATTGATTAAGTTGGGAGCTCTTGAGTGGACCAAAGTTGTGATTAACCATCAAGGATGGAGGCTTATTACTTGCATTTGGCTGCATGCCGGTGTTATTCATCTTCTAGTTAACATGCTGAGCCTGGTCTTCATTGGTATACGCCTTGAACAACAGTTCGGATTCGGTATGTTTTCTCCTTCTGTTCACACTCTTTATGCAACATGTTGAACTGAATTCAGTGGTGATTTAATAATCTTGTCTTTAATTCTCTTAAACCGTCTGTAAATTAGAGTTTGAGATAATGCGATGATCTGATAATTTGTTGTTACGAATTCACAATGTGGCAGTGCGGGTTGGAATCATTTACCTCTTGTCAGGATTTGGTGCAAGTGTGCTTTCCTCTCTATTTAACCGAAACAACATCTCTGTTGGTGCTTCTGGTGCTCTTTTCGGGCTTCTTGGTGCAATGCTTTCTGAACTTTTCACCAACTGGAGCATATACACAAACAAGGTGAGCAATATCAATTCTTCCATTTACTTGATCATGGAATCTTGTAGTATATATATACACACACACACAAAAACACGGTGAACAATATGTTCATCAGTATCCTAGTGTTGTTAATGGTCTTATTAGTGACCCTTTGTCTTGCTTGGTCCCTTCTTGATATTCCACAGGCCGCAGCTTTGTTCACTCTTCTGATCATCATTGCCATTAACCTTGCAATAGGAATTTTGCCACATGTTGATAATTTTGCTCATATTGGTGGGCTCGTCACTGGGTTCCTCCTCGGCTTCGTTCTGCTATCTCGTCCTCAGTACGGTTCGTTAGAGAGCCAGAATCTTCCAGCTGGTACTCCTTTTAAGTCCAATTACAAGCCTTACCAATATGCCCTGTGGTTGGTTTCCGTGGTTCTGCTGGTTGTGGGGTAGGTACCATTCATGCTTCAAGTAATTGGTTCTCTTCTCTCTTAATTCACATGGTTCACTCTTAATGCAGGTTGACAGTAGCATCGGTGATGCTGTTTCGGGGAGAAAACGGAAATGATCATTGCCGTTGGTGTCGCTATATAACATGTGTCTCCACCTCTAGATGGGATTGCAATCAAAACTAGCACTGCATAAGCTTCCATCCTCTTTGGAGATCTCTCTTCTTCCTACATTCATTTTGTAAATGCATAATTATTGTTTGAAAGTGTGAGTGATGTCTCCTCTGTTTTTGCTTTCTTTCTTTTAAACATCTGAGGACCGTTGTTGTAATTACTTTTACATCTCTGTAATGATTGCATATTATGCCAAAGATGATTACATGAAAAATAGTAAAGGTATATTCACCTTATTCTTTTCTTTTCTTAAAGAATTTTAGTCTCACTTTTCATTTTTAATCAAAATAGTTCCTAATTAAATAGAAATAGTTACTTTACTAATCATCAACACTTATCATTGATGTACATTGTTACATGTACATAATTGATGATGTAACACGTATCATGTCTAAAGTAATAATATGATACATGCTACACACATAGTAATGACATGACAAATGATGATGTGAAACATGTATTAATTTCATGTTATCACTTTGGACACACAATATGTATTACGTCATCACTTTAGGCATGTTAAATAACGTCAATATTTATGTACACATAACAGTGTCATACCATCATTTTAGACATATAATATGTATCGTGTCATTGGATTAGATACATGACATGTGCCACATCATCGACAACTTTAACTTTTGATCAATTAATGGTTTTCATCCTATCATTGGCTATTTTGACGCAAAACAAAACATCGGAACTAAAATCTAAAATGCTCAGAAATAAAATAAAAATCAAAGTGCGTATGACTTGATCTTTGTCTGATATGCTGTTATCAGCGTGGATCCCGAGACTATCATCATTGAAAGAATTTCACCCTGCGAACCGAACTGCTTTCTGCAAAACGGTTCTCATAACTGTATGATTCACCTTGTCCGTAAGATTGTTAGTTCTGAGAATCCAAGGCTTCATTTGTTTATTTGTACGGATAACAAAAGAATATTGGCTGTTCACTGTCATTATCACCATTTTAGATGGACCAGACAGCCAGATTTGATGGATTAAGCACCCGTGAATGCACAGTTTGAAACAGACAAAACTCCAACCGAAAATTACCTTAAAACAGTTGAACAACAATTATGACGACATTATTATCATAGTGCTGGAGAAAATGACGTTCATAATATATTTTTTACAATATTGATAATTTAGAATTTGATATAGCAGGATCAAAGTTTTAACATCATGGTAACTAATTACAACCCTAGCACATAATGCTGCTATCACACACGAGGAAAGGGAAGCGAGGATCATCATCAATCATTCCCTTTGGTCGGCACTACCAGGATGATACGAGCGGTTGGATGTCGGACGAGTCATGTACCTGAAGTCAACATTATGAGGAAAATCACAACTCCTGAGAAGTTCTTCGGGTTGAACCATATTTTTCGAACTCAAGCCTCTGCCTTGGGGCACTCCGGGACCGATACTTAGCCCGGGATGATTCAGTGTTCACCATGTAATTTGGGTGACCGGAATATCCACTTAAACATCCCCATGAGAATTCACTCCTTGTTGGTGTAAAAGGGCTTCTCCGTGCACTGCTTCCAGGTCTAGATGATGCAGAATGCACTTGTGGGCTGTTGGCAGCTGTTCTTAGAACTGCTTCATCCTTCCCTCCAGGATATTTCATGGAGTTTAATGAGAAAACTTCTGCTGAAGAGATATTTGGTATCAGATTTGAAGCTTTTCCGAATGGTTTTCTTGGGGAATCGTATGCCGTAAAGCTCGGGTTATAATCCAAAGTTGAATAATGCTGAGATGACGTAAAATTCTTGCGACTCTGTTGGGAGTTCAAGTGATGTTTCCAAGTTTCAGCTTCAAGAATTTTGTTACTCTTCTCAACATCAACATGCCTACAGCTAAATGGACCATCTCTACGGTTGTTCCATAAGCTTTCCTCTGTCCGATGGTCCAACCAATTCGAACCCATCTGTGCTTTCTCTATACCAATGATGTCCCTCAGGTTTGAATTTGAACCACTTCTCTGCATGAACAAAAACAATATTCAAGACCGATCTGAAGATCGATTTTATACCAGAGTCCATTTAAATTCACTGTGGCGTAAGGATCGGTGCTCAAAGGATCCGGGAACAATATTATGACTTTCAATGCATGTTTAAAACTAACATATCCTACACCAAGAAGTTCCAAGAATAAAATCCTTTCCCACTTCAGAGAATGTTAAATGGGAATCTGCAGAGGCAAACTGCCAATTGAGCAATACCTTTAAGATCGAGAGCCTATCAGATTTAGTATAATAAGCATGGAGTTGGCATTCATGTTTTCCAGAAGTTGCTTGGACCTGCAAGTAATACTTAGGAAAACGGACATCAGCAGACTGAACAACATGACCGGTAATTCTCGAGAAGTCCTTGGATATCAATCACTCCTCCCTACCGTATCTGTTCAAATGCATGCCAAGCTTTCTTTCTATTGAAATTAAAGATTCAGCCTAGCACAATTAATTACATTTCACCAAAACTGATCTTCAAGTCATAGTTAACCTCAAAATATGTTATGATCATACCTCATATTAACCTTAAATCCTCCATAAAAATATCAGAACTTTAAGTTTAGGCAAAAGTGGTCCCTCGGTATTTCAGTCTATTAGTGCTTGAAGCATATCATGTTAGCTCATAGCAAGCACATCAAAAGCATATCTTTTGCCTAACATGAACCTTCCATATCATTTTCATAAATGCGCCCTAAACATCGACTAGAGCAGAGAGATATGCTTACAGCATTTTGTGTAACTTTCGACATCTTGACGACAGAATCTAAAGACTTTGTCACATGTGCACGACTAGCACGGGCTCGAGCTTGCAGTCGGACCAATGTCTGCATACGTCTGAGCATGTCTGCCACTTGCTTTCTCACCAAGTGGCCTCTCACTAGCGCTTGAAGCTTCACCAATGCTTTCAAGGCTCTCAGTGCCCTCCGTGCCTGCATCAGTCAAAAAATCAAGCACCATTTACATCAGATTAACCAAAAACCATCCATCTAATTGATTGTACCATAACCCTTTTAAGAAATTTACACAAGAAAACAAAGCCAAGCCATTTCTTTAGTCCTTTTAGAAGTTGAAGGCTCTAATAAAAAAATGATTTGCAACAGATAGACGATGAACTTGAAAAGCAAGAAGCCCATGGATGAAACCATTGTCTACCATACAAGCCAACTAAAAAGAGGAAATGGCAATAAATTTAAACAATTTTGCAGTACTAATTTTGCAGCTTTAACTCAATTGTTTTAGTTCAAATCAGAATAAAGCTAGGAACTTGGTATAAAGACCTAACAACTTTCTGGAGAAAATTAATAATCAGTGGATAAAGTTGATATCAAAAAGGCTATCCCAGTTGGTAGAATATGAAAAAGAACATGGTGTAACCGGCTCATGAAAAGAATAAAGTTGGCCCAGCTGCTTGGCTGTACCATGAAATATTTGCAGAATGGTGCCTTACAAAAATGAGGTAGAAAATTACTTGTTACCTTTGAAAGAAGATTCACCAAAAGGCAAGAAACCAATTTTGACAAAAATATTTTTACAGAACATATGTGTAGAATTCATTGTGGTTCAGATCAGATTATCAGAAAGAGGAAGCAATGCAACTTTATGATTACATTCTTTGCTGCAGATATGACAAATATTTGCCATAATTAACCCATCACTTCACGGACTCGTTCTTTTCTGTTAAACCAAACAAATAAATGAAAGGAACCAGAGCCATTTGAGGGATTGATGGCTGGCTTCTTCAGCTTCTTCCCATAGGCCATAACCCCAAAAGACTGGAAAAGCACTTTCCTGGAAGGGCTCGTAAGTAAATAACAAACAAGACAGTGAAGACGGGGTAGAAGGTAACAGGAAATCAGTCGCCTAGTGAAAAGCCTGATGGCAAAATGACACTTCTTTCACCCTTCTTTCTCCTTCATAGACCATTCCCAAGTTTAAAACCTTCAACTGTACTTTTGTATTTTAGAACAACACTCTTCTTTTGAATTTAACAAGACAATCTGGAATATTTTTGCAGATCAAAGAACGCGAAGAAAAGTGGGCAGTTTCTAAGAACAAACGAAGTAAAAATACTAACCAGATAACCTCGAAAAGCGGATTGTATCCTGGCAGCCGCCACATCCCGTGAGAAGCGTTGGTTGCTGCCATTGCCACCCCTACTTGTTGTCAGTCTAACGACCTCTGCAGCCGCATGCGCGGCCGCGAGAGCAGCCTCGGCTACAGAAGCTGTACCGGCTGCCACTGCTATGGCGTGCTTGTTGGCATACAACGTGTCACCGCATGCATCATCTGTATGGAAAGTTGAAGACGTGGGATTGGAAGATCTAGCAAAGCTCCAACGCCTCCGTTCTTTATTGGAGCGGGTTTTGTCGGACTTTTTGGCGCCGAAGAGTCCCCGGAAAAAGCCCATGGTTCATTGCCGGAGAAGTACACGTGAAGTTGAAGCCATGATTAACTGAAAATAAGTTTTTTTTGGAGGGTGGGGGGGAGTAAAAGAGTAGAGAATGGAAACCAGTGATAGAGAAGAGGGAGAGAGTAGGGCCTAAGCTTGATTAGACTAGAAAATTTTAAAATTAATTTTAACTTAAAAGTTTATAAACTTAAATTTTTTAAGTTTAACTCAAATTTAAAATCATGAATTAAAGTTTGAAAAAATTTGAAATAAAAAAAAGAAATTAAACTTGACTCATTGAATCTCAAACTTTAACCCAAACCTTGAGTACATGAAACAGTTATACAACTTTAAAAAAAAAAAATCAACATACATATATTAATATTATTAATAATTTAATTTTAAAAAAATTAACATATAATTTTTGAGCTATTTATAAACTTTTTTGAATCATATATTAATTAATTTGTTTCAATTCTTTAGGAACTTGAGTCGAGCTTGAACTCAAACTCGAATCAAATCTATTCTAATCAAATAATTATTAAGTTTTAACTAAATTAAACTCAAAAAATTTATAATATATATCGTCTCATTTACTGTACTGGAGAGAGTGACCAATTATCCACAATTCAAATCACTCGAGCCATTCTTGTCTCCAGGAATTTGTAAACCACGCGCGCATTTTATAAATGGGTGTCTTTAGATATTTTTGAAATACAAAATTTCATAGGTTTAGTATTTATGATTTTTGTTTGAATAAATATTTATATTAATAATTGGGTAAATTATTATTATTTTTATTTTGATCATTAATTACGTTATTACTTCTAATAGTTTATAAGTTATTTTTTAGAATAAATTTATTAAAAAAAATAAGACAATGTCATGCATTATCACCTTATTAAAAAATTAAATTGAAGAATTGAATAAAGTTATGACTTAAAGACTTTTAGGATCTAATACTTAGCAACTAAACTAAATTATTATCGAAATTAATATCTAATTTAAATTGTGTATTGAATTCATTGAGTGATATCAATAGTAAAAGATAATTTTTTTAAAGATTTAAGTTCGAGCTGCTACATGTGTATGATGCGTGTATATTGTCAATAGATTAAGAAAATTATTTAAAAACGACATTTGGTTTGTTGATGATGAGAGACAAAATTACGTGGAAACTCAAAAGGTTAAATATAATTCACATACATATTGTCACTAATCTTTTAACAATCGATGATCAAAATAGAAAAAAAAACGTAATGTTAGTAATGGTTTTATAAAAAATAATTCAGATACCAAAATATAAAAGAATTAATAGATTGGTGACTACTGGTGTAGTTTACTCTTAAACATTTTAAGATATTAAAAATTATAAATTTAAAAAAATAATAAAAAATATAATGATACATACATATAATATAAATATAATATAATATAATATAATATAATATAATATAAATGTCATTAAATTTGTAAAAATATATAAATAATTCTAATAATATAAAATATAAAAAATATACATTAGAACTAAATAAGATAATGTTTTAAAGTTGAATTTTTTAATTCATATGTGGGCTAAGTGATATTTTAATTTTTTATAAATATTTGATTGGTGGAGTATAATTACATTTTAATTTTAAATCTCATGTTTCAATTATATAAGTTTAAATTTTAAAATAATATTAATTATATAATTAAAGAGGCTAATTCTAGATGTAATTACACCAATTATCATTATTCTCTTAAAGTTGAAAGTGTAATTTAAGGACTTCAATGATCAGTATTCCCTTTGGAATATGTTAAAGCCTCGTGACTGTTTTTCCAGAGTTGGGTAAAAGACAAAGCTGGAGAGCTGGAGAGTAGCATGAGTTTTGAATTCATGGGTGATCTCAATTATAAATATGGTTAATTGTCCTTTAAGTCCTTCAAGATTTTAAAATATTCATAAAAATAATGGTGCATATCAATGTATAGCATTAGTGATGACCATCGGTATATGATATTATGTTGTGGAAAATATTCCTATAATTTGCGATTGTGATGAGAAAAGATGAACAAATTTAATGAAATGTGCATTAAAAATAACAAATAAACTCATATTTAATTATGGATTTATTGGCCTATTATTCCTCTTGGCATGTCATAGTGTTTGAGGATATATTTGGACTCTATAAATCTTTCTGAGTTGATATAAAAAAGTTTATTTATCATATACTTATTATTACATTATGTTTCATCTTGGACAAATGAGGTAGTAATTAATATGTGAAAATTATAATTGTGACATCCAAATAATATTAGTTACTCATTTCATTGAATTTAAAATAATAAATAAAAGAATTATCAAATCAAATTGAAAATTGCTAATCCCTACAGAAAACCGCAACCCCAAATTTTCAAACATATTGATGGTTATTTACTTTTTTTTATTTCAGAATTATTAATGTCAATGAAGCTTAAAACCCATGTATTTGTAACTTTTGTGTAAAACCAAGTTAAGTTACGGACAGGACATACGTATCATTTTATGTTAAAAACTATGAATTTATAAAATTTTAAATGATAAAAATAAATTACTAATCGAAAATACATAAAAAATTAAAAAATTAATGAATTTGAAAATTTTAAGAAAATAATTGTTTCATCCTCGCATTCGATCCATCCCTAACTACAGAGACCTCCCTTTGTGAACGGTGGTCGACGTTGCAAAGAACATACGCCACTTGAGTCCAACAAGAACAGCCATAATACCCCTTTGAACTCAATGTTGGATATTATTGTTTTAATTTATCAATTGATTTCGACTCTGTCGCTTTGTCTAATTTTCAACGTAGCATTACTAAAAAAAACCCAACGTAGCACCAGCTCTGATTAATTAATAAACTAATTTATAAAATTAATATACTTTTCCTACCCTAATTATATTATATTTAAATTTAAGGGTAAAGTACTTGAATAATCACCTAACTATAGGGTTGGTATCGATATGACCACCATTTTCAAAATTATCTCAATATGATCACTTAACTATTTAATTGGTTTCAATATAGTCATATGTCGTTAGCATTTGATGTAAGCGTTGACGTGGCAGTTGATAAAACTGATATAATTATACAGTTGATCTTCAATACTTTCTTATTCTATCAATTTAGTCTTAATTTAATTTAATTTTATTGTCATCCTCAATACTTACTTATTATTTCCTTTTTTTATGTATAATATAAAACAATATATATAAACAAGTTTACACACTAATAACAAACATTGGGATTGCCTTAGTGGTTGAGATGTATTCACCCTCCAAATGAGGTTTAGGATCAATTCCCTCATATTGAGGTTCCTTCGAATCTCAGCCATTTAATTTTTTAATTTAACCTTTTCCAAAAAATTCAGTCCATTGGAGTAAAAAATTTAGAGTGGCGATTATTTTCTATATTTGAATTTTATTTATTAAGAATATTAACTATCATGTCATTATTGAATTTATTCGATTAAAAATATAAAAAACGGTAAATTATAATTATTTATTCGATTAAAAAATTCTTAATTTTATTAATTTACAGTTTTTTATATTTTAAATTTTTAATTGAATAAATAATTATTAAATTATAATTAATAAATAAAAATTAAAGATTATTTTTTTATTAATAAAAATTAAGAATTATTTCTTCCATTAAAAAAATTAAAAACAATAATTTTTTTTTGTAAATTATATTAAATTAAGTGATTGAACTTTAATTTAATCCTTTATCCCAATTTGCATTTTTGTTTCTTCCTTTTTTTTCTGTCGGTAAATGAAATAAATATATAAAATATGTTGTGATTGGAAATAAAAGGGGACTTGGTGCAGTGGTTTAGGTGTGACCTTGGCTAAACGAGTGACCTAAGTTCAATTTCATCCAGGTTCACTTTCATTCATTATTTTCTCACTTTTATAAGGTGGTGACAAAAAATTAAGAAAATATGCTCCAACTAGATAATGACATGTGTTACCATTTAATTGGAGATTAAATTTATTTTAATTAAAATAATTTATATCCAAATTGATAGGATTTATAAATATTAAGGACAAAATGTATAATTATGTCATTTTTATTAACGAACACGTCACCATCTCTGCTAAAGTAGATTGATTGAACCATTTAAATAGTTGAGAGGTCTGATTGATTCAATCGAAACTTCGGTGGTCAAATTGATTTTTTATCATAGTTGAGTGGTCATCCGTGTAGTTTACCCTAAAATTAAATAACTTACTATAAAAATGCATATTGTTAAGTGGCTATGGCTCTTGCAATTGGACCTGCCCTTGGTTACCGGTCAGCTAGGATGTCCACTAATGGCCATTTCTTCTGCACGCCTATGACTTCAAAACATAACTCCAAAAATCCATTTTGGTCCCATAACTTAGATATCAAATTGGATCATAATTTAATTCAGAATCGAGATATATATGATATCCATTAAAATGATTTAAAATTCAATTTTATTGTCTAAGACAATATTTTTAATTAAAATTTTGTATTGCAAGAACAAAACGATATTCCATCCGAAATCCTTCTCTAAGGCCTACCCTATTTGTAAGTAGACCCTCAATATCTCAGTAGGGCAATAATTAAAAGGAAAAACATAGATATGATAAGCAAATTGGCATTCACCACACCCACACAAAATTGGCACAACAATATTTTAGGAGATTATACTTAGTTTAAGTATAGTAATGATAATAGTAAGATTTAATGAGAAAATAATTGTTTAAATTATATATAAAGTTAATTTTAGGTGTTTAAATTTTTTGCTTAAAATAGATGTCAAACTTTTTCATATTATCTTTTTAGATGTCTAGTTCTTCACGATCGTTAAAAAAACGTTATCCAACACATATCATGTTTATAACATTTTAAAATTTTATTTAATTTTAAAATTAAAATTAGAAAAAAAAATTAAAACCCAAACTTTTATAAAATTAAAAAAACCAAAATCTCTTAAAACCCTAATTTCAATCTCGTAACATCGTCGTCTGCCACCAATACCGCCAATCGGCCGAACACCCAACGTTATGCGACAGACCAACCACCCAATGATTGAAGTCCCTTACTTTCGCGAACAACTTACACCTAATGACTGTGTAAATGCAAGAATTTGTGATCAACTGAATCTCCTCACTGTAATCGTCAATTATTCGTTGTAATAAGGGGTTGGAGCAAGGAGTTTCGTTCATTGGGTGTTTGGTCGGTCGCACATCGTTAGAATTTTGATCGGTTGGTGGTGCGTTGGTGGCTGTTGAGAGTGATAAAAGGATTGAAATTAGGGTTTTTAGGAATTTTTGGGTCTTCATTATAATTTTTTTAAAAATGGGATTTTTAAAATAATATTTTTAAATGTTGTTTTTTTTATAAAAATTCTATAAACATGACATGTGTAAGATAACAAAGTTTTTTAACACTTGTTACGGTGTATGCACCGAAAAAAATAATATTGGAAATGTTAGATACCAACCTTGAATGAAAAAATTCTTTAGACACCTAAAATTAACTTTCAGTATATTTTGTAAATTTATTTTTACATTAACCCTAATAATAATAATAATAAATTAATAATTCACATGAGAAACTAAATACTAATATTTGCATATGATCCAAGTTTTGAAATTGTTTAAAAATCAATCGCATAATAGTTTTGTAGTTAAGCCATCTTGGGTTAAAACCATTAGATTCATTTAATATTTTTTTATATTTATTTAGTTGATTAAAAAAATATTATGTATATTGATGTTTCTTCACGAGTTACCAACTTCAACACGTCAAAGATTTCGCTTATAGTCATCATGCCAATATAATACCAAGCGATGCATAAGTTCAAAACATTAGAAATTAAATATCACACTTATTAACATCCGTGTCTTAAGAAACAACACAATATGCAAACATCCAAATATGTAATGTTCATATAAAGCACTCTTTCATTTATTCAATTTAACCAAAAGATAATTCAAAATCCCAATCTTCTCTTCTCTCTTCTCTTCCCATGGTTTCCTCCAGCCAAACCATTAAGTTATCCATGGAGTTTGCTGATGCAGCCTCTTGGCACTGTGCCTTGGTCTTATTGGTCTTGGTATTGATCGGTTCCATTGGGGCGAATTCTGTATCGTCGGAGGAACATGCGAGAGGGAGGCAGATTTTCAACCGCCCTTGTGATGAAATCTATGTCGTCGGCGAAGGGGAGACTCTTCACACCATCAGCGACAAGTGTGGCGACCCTTTTATCGTCGAGCGTAACCCGCACATTCATGACCCCGACGATGTTTTCCCCGGCCTTGTTATCAAGATCATCCCTTCAACTGATGAGAAACTATAGAGGTAGTCATACTGCCCATACAAACTGAATATAATAAGCTTCTTCAAATTACTACAGGCTTGTATATATATATATATATATATATCAAAACGTCATAAAATTGTGGGATAGAAATTAAGAATGTAGTATTTGCTATTCATTGTCAAAAGTCTATTCACTTGGAATTAAATGCAGATTTCAATTATGTGGTGGTTGGGAGATGGGTCCTTTTCTCTCATCCAAATTGCTTGCAATTAATAGGTATATGGTAAGCATAAAGTTTTGCCTAAATGATAATAGCATCGCCTCTGAGGATAAAATTGTTTACTGAGAAACAAACTAAATGATCTCATTGATTAATGTTGTTATTTCTTGAGGTTTTAAGTTCGAGCACAACATATACATGAACAAAAACGTTTAATGTCAAATAATTGAGAATCTATAAATAAATATTCTTTGTATTCACCCCAGATTAATTTAAAAAAATATTTACTGAGAATTCCGTTATTTTGCTTAAACTAAAATGCGACAGGCATCATCTTAACTCACATTTTTCAGAAGATGTCAACTAAACTAATTTAATTTGTCATTTATATTTATTTAATATATATATATATATATATATATTATTTATAAAATTTTAAAACATTTAAACGCGTTTGAATCCACGATGTTCTAATTATTGTAATAACAATCATGTAAATCTAATTGGATTTATTTGACATATATATAAACTTCTTAATACTATAAAAATACAAGACTCTCAACCAAAATTTCACACAATCCCACACAACTGACTAGAACGTTAGGTACCAGTACTCAAACTTACATGTACTGCCCAACACTAACAATATGCTCACAAACATCAACTAAACTCTTAACCTACCATGACCCCAAACCCTGTTAAACTTCTCTGTAAACTTTTCAGTTATCATAAAAATATACACAAATGCACTGTTTTTCTTTCATTTCACACAATCTATATTTATCGTTTTACAAACGTCATACTAGAAGCATCTGTTTGTTATACCAGCTCACCTATGATGTTATAACCAATTTAACACCTAGCTGATATTTGTTTTATTAGCTAACATTCTCCCTACGTTCTATGGCTTCAACATCACCTCCAGAGACATGCATCTCCTCGCGATACATGAAAAAATAGGCTCTCGACAAAGGTTTGGTTAAACTATCTGCACACTGATGTGAGGATGGAACATAATTAACGGTAACATCACCAGCAACAACCTTTTCCCGAATGAAATGTAAATCCAACTCGACATGCTTCGAACGTGAGTGAAATACTGGGTTTTCTCTCATGGCAATATCACTTGTATTGTCGCTCCAAATGACAGGCTTACTAGACAACACATAACAACTTCTGCAATCCCACGATACTCTGCTTTAGTGGTGGACCTCAAGACTGATCGTTGTCTTTTAGACTACCAAGATACTAGATTTCCGCCAAGGAACACACAAAATCCAGAAATAGAACGACGATCATCAACATTGCTTGCCCAGTCAGCATCAACATATGCTTCAAGTTGAATACCAGTGTTATTTTTGTGGAAGATTAACCCATAATACAAAGTGCCACTGAGATAATGAAGGATGCGCTTTACGGCTATCCAATGTTGTTCACACGGGGCATGCATATATTGAGCCACATGATTTACACTAAATACAATGTCTGAACGTGTATGATTTAAGAGAGCCCCCACGACACTTCTATACATTTGAGCATAAGGTAATAGACTTCCACCATTTTTACTTAATTTAGGTGATAAAACCATTGGTGTTGGAACCGGATGAGCACCACGTATGCCAGCTTTGTCAAGCAACTCAAGAATAAACTTCTTTTGTCATAGAACTAACTTTTGATCATTTCGTGTTACCTTTAATCCCAAAAAGAAATTCAATTCCCCTAAATCTTTTAGAGAGAATTTGCTACTTAAGAGCATCACCACTTGTGCAACATCGTCATCATCATAACCCATGATGATAATGTCATCAACGTATATAAGAACATATACCATCTTGTCTGAAGCCGACGAATAAACAATGAGGCATCGACCTGAATACCATTGAAACCAACCCGAATTAAGAAGGCTTGTAACTTTGCATACCAGCTGCGAGGAGCCTGTTTGAGACTATACAACGCTTTCTCCAACTTGCATACCAATTGAGAGCCATCGACTGTGGATTTTTCAAATCCCGGCAGCTGCATCATGTGCATTTCCTCATTGAGTTCCCCATTGAGAAAAGTGTTGTTGACGTCGACTTGTCGTAACTTCCACCCATGCGTCACCGCTAATGAAAAAATGACCTTAACTGTGGACGGCTTGATGACAGGACTAAAGGTGTCGTGGAAGTCCTTACCAGGAACTTGAGTAAACCCTTTTGCTACAAGTCTGGCTTTATGTCGTGCAACCGACCCATCTTCATTCTTTTTAATTCGGAACAACCATTTACATCCGATAGCGGTCTGACCATGAGGTATTAAAACTAATCGCGTAGTGCCATTTTGAACCAATGCATTGTATTCAATCATAACAACTTCCTTCCATATGGGTGAGAGCAACACTTGTTGAATTGACACTGGTTTATCGCCATTGATCAAAGAATGCACGGAGAAAGCTTTGGGTTTAAAAATGCTAACTTTGCTCCTGGTAACCATATGATGGATATTGGACATGGAAGGAAGTGGTCCATATACTGTACTCGTAGTAGCAGCTTCAGTTGGAACAGATGTTGATGATTCTTGAAGTGAATCACTAGAACTAGCTGCTGAATTTTCAGTCACATGTATTATTTGTAAGTCATCAGACGAGTGAGTATGAACACCTGAATTTTTGGGCATTATATTTTGTTGTTCCATGTTATCATATGAATTTTCAACTGGGATAGAAGATACAGAAGTTCCAGTTGGATCAGAACCAAGATTTTCGTGCAACAAAGTTGGAGAAAGAGCGCAAGTTAGTCGTTGAGTGCCTGGGATCTAAACAATCTTGGTGCATAGCATCGTAGTGGAATCAATAATTTAATCCATAACCTGTCCTGCAAAAGGAAAAGTACCCTCATCAAACTTAACGTGTCGATAAATAAATATCCGACCTCCGGTGCCAGGTATAAATATCCCTCGTGTTGCACGCTATAACCCAAAAAAGTGCAAGCATGTGATTAGAAAGCAAGCTTGTGTGACTAAAACGAACAAAGATATGGGAAACAACGACATCCAAAGACATGTAGGTGTTCATAACCAGGATTTTTACCAAATAGCTTGCTGAACGGAGTCGAGCCGTGCAGAACTTTCGTAGGTAATTTGTTGATCAAATAGACTGCTGTAACAACAACATATGACCAATATTTTAGTGGTAACGAGGCCTGAGAAAGAAGCGTAAGAGCCATTTCAACAATTTGACGATGTTTATGCTCAACAATCCCATTTTGTTGAGACGTGTGAGGACAAGTGAGTCTATGATGTATCCCGAGTTCTTGAAGAACTTTAGTGAAAGGACGAAACTCTCCACCCCAAGCACCCCAAACTTCCTTTATTTCCTTATTAAACTGTACAAGAATTAATCGTTGGAACAACTTGAAGGCATACAAAGCTTGGGACTTTTCTTTTAAAAGATAAATCCAATTATACCTGGTACATGCATCAACACACGACATATAGTAGCGATATCTGTTGGATTCAATGTGAGGAGGCCCCCATAGATCCACAAATATTAAGTTAAACGATTCAGCATAAGCAGTAACAGATGGAGAAAAAGGGAGAGAATAACTTTTTCCAGAGTGATAAGCAACACACACAAATTCATCATTAACCAAAGTTGTATCAACATTACATTCTTTATAAACTTTTAGTAATGTATCTCGAGAGAAATGTCCTAATCGGTTGTGCCATAAGCGAAAATCAACAACTCCACGAGCTACATTACACTCAACATGATCATTATTCCTTAGCAAGATAGAGTCAAACTCATAGAGACCATATTTCTCACATCTTTTAAGTAGCACCGCTCTTGTAACTTCATCCCGAACTACACATCTATGAGTATAAAATTCAAGAAATATGTAGTTATCTTTGGCAAGCTTAGAAATCGATACTAAGTTCTTCAATATATAAGGAACATGAAGTAAATTATTTAACGTTAAAGAATGATCACAACCATGTAAACGAGAATGACCAATGCTAGAAACAGATAAGTCATTTCCATTACCAATCATAAGCTTACCTTGTCCGATATACTCCTCTCGACCAACAACATTATCTGCATCCAACGTCACATGATGGGTGGAACTTGAGTCGATAATCCATTTTCTAGAGGACCGAGCAACACCACCAATACCCATATTAGACTTAGGAGCACATTCAGCCGCAACTACTGTAGCATTGGCATCCCACACTCCTTGACAGCCACACGTAGGTGATGAGGGAAAAACACAAGAATGAGCAGCTGGATTGAAAATCGAAGAAGAACGACCAGCAGAAACCCCTTGAAAATTTTGGTCGAACCTATACCAACAACGGTTCACTAAGTGACTAATTTTTTCACAAAGTTGGCATTGAATCCGAGGCTTAGCTCGACCTTGACCACCCTGGCGATAAACATATAATCTAGGAGACGATCGAGATGAAAGAACAACCCCATTAACTGGTAAGTCAGAAACCTAAAGGTTCACAAGATTTGCACTGATCATCAAGCTATCAGGTTGTCGACTTGATGACAAAATACTCAGTGACCATAGCCCACAATTGCACAACCGTATCAGCTCCGACCAAGTGGGAAAAAATTGACAGGCTTATGGTGGACAAAAGCCATGAAATAAGTGCATTGTCTTGTGCAACAAATATTCCATAATCTTCATTTTCAGTAATCATACCATCTCCTAGAACCACTGTTGTAGGAGGAGGAGTGACTGCATGAGTGAAAAGTTTTTCCAGGCGATGACTCCAAACCACCAGAAGCACTTGTTATTTCCATAAGAGAAAGTTATGTTCATCCAAGACGACAATGAGCCGTTTGTTGGTGAAGATCTTTTGCAGCGTTGGTGATGATATGTCTGTATCACCCATCTCACCACCAACAAATCAAAATAAGAAGGAAAAAAAACTAA